CCCCCCACCTCCTTTCAGGGACTTTTGAAGACACGGATCCAGCACCGGCTGAGGTACATCCTGGAGGTGGTACGACCTGTTCCAACAGTAGTCCTGGATATACTGCACATCCTCACCCACATAGCAAGGCACTCCTCTGAAGCATGCAGCCAGGTAAATTTCCCATTTTACAGGAGCTCCAGAATGGTAGAGAAAGGTTTGAGAAAGGGAAGAAAGAAGCAGGTAGAGTTATGGCAAGGAGGTTAGACAAACTTGTGTGTTTTGCATGTCTGTATATCTGCGTGCCTTAGTTATTTGTGCTGACTGCTATTTCTCTTCAGCTGCTTGACTGTCCTCGGTTGATCGAGACCATTGTCAGGGAATTTCTCCCTACTCAGTGGGATCCCCAAGTGGCTGAACCAGGGTGTTTACTCACCAGCCTCCATGGAGTTCCTTGCTCCACTGCTATGAAGTTCATCAGAGTGTTGGCATCTGGAGGTCGAAATGCAACAGCCAGGCTGGTGAGTGATTCTCAGAAGAGCTTTTCTGAGTGCAAAGGCCTTTGTTCTCTGTGTCTTCATTTCTAAGTAAAGATAAAGGATTAATTAGAGGTGACTGCGAGCTGAAGCTGAAATAATCATTGTGAAGAAGGTGCACATGTGTGTTTTGAAGGAGTTGTTGACAGCATCATAATAATGATGCCGCCTGCTCTGTACTGGTAGAAGAGCTGTCTCAAGCTTTTCTCTGCTTTTTGTGTTTTACATAGTGCAGTTATGCAAAAGCACATAGTACAGCTCGGTGATACTGACCAACAGCAGATGTTTAGGGCACACGCTGGTATGTGATGCTCTATACTCTCCTGTGTTCCAGTGATAGGCACCTTAGGACTGTATAAACCAGAGGTTTAATCGCTATCCTTGTGTTTTACAACCCTGGTTGAACTTTCCTGCCATTCGTTTGTCTTAATAACTCTGAGGTGATTTATCAGTATATCCAACCCCTCTTATCTACTTCTGGACAGGTTTTCCACTTCAGAGATAATTGCATTCGCTCATATAGGTCATCACACTGGTGCTATAAATGCGTAACATCTACCAAGAGCAGCATTCATTACAGTGCAGTGAGCACCTCTTGGGGGTTTTGGTTCAGTATTGTTAATAGCAACTAATAAATTGCCATCCAGGAAATTGCTAACATCAGCAGAAGAACATCAGTCTGTGCTGTAAAATACATAGAATAATATGCTGGCAATGGGTAGTGGGTATTTAAAGGCTGTTAAGTGGTGCTAGGAACATAATAGAAAATCTCTGAATTTTACTCTGTTTCAGGCTTTGTGTACTCCAGGTGTTTCGAGGCATGCAAAAATTGCTTACAAGGTTCCTGCCACTCAGGCTTTGGTTCTGTTGCATTCACATATGGCTTGTTACAGGCACTTAAACATGGGAATGGAAGATAGTAAAAAAAAATAAATCAAAATCATCAATGTAGGAATTTGTTTTAGCTAACAACAAAATTCTTCCATCTTTCTCCTCTGGAAGTAAATTTGACTTTGCCCTCTGTTCCGTAGGAGGGTTGTCAGAATTCATAGTTTGATTCATCAGCTCCTTTGCTTTCTTGCTGGTGTGCATTGATTTTCCTACAATATGTCCCTAAAGATTTGAATTTTAAATTATCTATAATATGTCCTTGTGTTGTGAAAAAGACATTGTCATCTCATTTGTTTAGACAGAGCCCACACAAACTTCTGTATGTGTGGGAGCGGGAAAGAGAAGCTCTTATTTTTTATGGTTAAGCAAAAATACCCAGTTGTTGGGGAGGATAAAAATTATTTCTAGAGAACTGCAAATGAGTCATGTCACGCTTAATTCAATACTAAAATAGCCTCAGAACATTTCCAAGGCATCAAAATTCTATAATCTTATAAAAGTAATAGGCAGGAAGTACCCTTACTATAAAATAAACACAGAATCATAGAAAGATTTAAGTTATAGGATGTCTGAAAACCTTTTAGTGTGACCTTGCAAAAAGAATATCAGCATCAATTCAGTACTTTTGTATACAGTGTTTTTCATAAGATATATCTTTATGTGTAATCTTGACTAATAGAGTTCTATTTATGATCAGATAAATGCTGCAGAGAACATCCAAAACAAGCGTGTGCGTGGGCTCGACTAACCTCTGTCAGGAATGATTTAGATGTAGTTGATTTGTGTTAGGAATGGATTAGGTAATACCTAAGCATCCCTTCCTGCAATACTTCTCTTCTTAATAGCTATTGACCATTTATTGATCCTTTGTAGTATGCTCCTTCAGATTACACAAGATAAAGACAGATTTGAACGGTGCAAGAGGAGTTTAGAAGGAGCTGAATTGAAATCTGCAGCTCTTTTGGCGTGTCACAGTAATGACATAATGATGCATGTAACTGTTGTCTCTTATCCCTTTCTCTTTTTTGTTGCTCATTCATTTCTTTGTTTGTTTGTTTGTTTTACAGCTTAACAAATTTGAAATGAAAAGTCGGTTAAGTCGATTTATAGCTGAAGACCCGCTGGATCTGCTCCTGCCAAGGGAAGAAGCCATCAGGCTAAGCACCGAAGCCTTCCGGCTGTGGGCTGTGGCTGCTGGCTATGGTCAGGCCTGTGATCTCTACAGGTACAGTTTGCAGCTGGACAAAGGTGGGTGGACGGCACAACTGATAAAATGGACATCCTGTTCCAGAGGGGCAAATATTGGGGTCTCCAGCCTCAGTCTCTGCTCCCTTCAGGGAGTCTTATCTCCATTTCTCTGGCCTCCTGCAGTAAAACTTTCAGTTTCTAAAGGTATTTGTGTTGTGTTGTATTTTTTCTGGTTGTTCCTTATCTCCTGTGTTTAAGCACTGGTATTTTGTTGTTTCTCCTCTGTACTATGGGAGATCACCCTGACTTTTTAGGGCTGCATCTTTCTCCACTTGAAGGTGTGAATAAACTGTGCTTGTGTGACATCAAGACATGTAGTTTGTGTGGGACCTAGGATTGAATCTGATGACCTGAAGGCAGTCCGTAGGTAGCAGTCACCAGCATGCATGCTAAGTGAGGCAGACTGATGCAGAGAAGCTGCATGCTGTGCTGACTTTCAGTTCCATACAAATTCTTGTGCTTGACCATCAAGGTCTGAACTGGGATAAGTCTGACCTACCTCAAGCATTGAATTTTCCTCCTGAAAATGACTTGGAAGCACAGAGATGGCTATGGAGTTGCTCTGAAGAGGAGTAAAAGGGAGGCCAGTATTAAGTTTCAGAAGGGATATTCTCTCTCTGCAACATCATTTTGTGTATTGGTTAATAAAGAGTAAAAACTGTATAATTTTTTAGGACTTTAAATAATGTTGAGGAAAGAGAAACAGCAGAAGATGCTTTAAACTTGCTTGATTATAGCTGTGGATACTTTGGCTGACAATCTGAGAACTAGGGGGACAAGAATAAAAGTAATAAGTAGTTTTTCCAAGAGATTATCTGAATGCTTGGAGGCAGAATATTAGGTAGATCCATTAAGCTGAATTTGGAATAACAGTGTTCTTCCTTTGTCATCTTTTTTCCATGCCTGTTTATTTTTGTTGTTTTGGTGGTAGGGATGATTCTCATAATCTCATTTTAGCAATCTTTATAAATATGTGATGAGAGAGTGTAAAGAAGGTAGAGCCAGGTTCTTCCGGTGGTATGAAGTGAAAGTAAAAGAAGCAATGGGCACAAATGGAAATACAGGAAATTTCACTTAAGCGTAAGAAAAAAAAAATTTGCTGTGAATGTGATCAAACATTGGAGCAGGTTGTACAAGAAGATTGTGGACTCTCCATTCTTGAAGATACTAAAAATCCAAGTGTTCATGTTCCTGGGCAAACTTACTCAAACTGACCTGGCTTGAGCAGGGACTTGAACTATAGATGATCTCCAGAGACCCTTTCCAACCTTATCTGTTCTGTGATTCATACTGTAGAGATCTCTACCCTGTGCTGGTGAGGATACTGCAGTCCCTACCTGAATTGCTCAGCACTTGTTGTGGGAAGAGCCCTATGACTGAGTTGTCTGTCCAGCGAGCTACAGCAGTAGTTACTCTGCTGATACACGTGACGCAAACAGCAGGCTACACAGCAGAGCTGCAGGCCAAGCTAAGCAGGTAGGTCTTCTCTCTCACCACCAGTTCTGTGTATCTGAATGGTCTTTCCTCTCTTTGTTTTGGAGACCCTTCTTTTTTTCCTTCATTTTGGGTGGTTTACTGTCCCATATGTGAATCCCTGCGTGGTGGGTGTATTCCCTCTGACACAGGGTCAGAAGCTCTATCTAGTCTGACAGCTGTGTACATGCTAGCCTGGTAAGAGGCAGGAGTGAAAAATCTGCATTCAGCTATGGGTCAGAAGGGCAGTGTTAGCCAAATGCCCTGCTGAAAGGAGCTGGGAAGTTCCTTTGACCTTCCCTTTGGGGAAAAGAAAGTAACCTTCCTGAGGTTTGGAGAAAAGAACTTCTCTGCAGAAACTGAGATGCGTAAGGATTAAGAGGCTATTGATTTTGAGAGACATCAAAGCAGTAGGATTTGATTGAAGACAGATACTTTTTCTGACAAAAAGCAATGAACTCTTTAACTAAAGCTGGATACTGAGGTAGTGTGTCTCATAAAAACAGAGCATAGCTCAAGAACAGAGTAGTGCAGCTGAAGAACCTTCAGCTTTCATGAGTGGATTCTGCATTTGTCCTTTCTGCCTAAATTGATTTGGTCTGGTCTGTGTGAATGTGCAAAGACCTTTTTTTCCCCTAGTGGCTGTTGTCAAGTGTTGCCTTCCAGACTACATGTAATTGGAAATCTTGCTATCAAAAGTGATGATTTAGAGAGGCAATTGTTGCTGGGACATACTCACTATCCTATTTCATTCTTCCATTGCGTTTCAGTAATAGCTCAGAAGACACTGAACAGGTTCCACCTCCTCCAGTAGCGTGGAATCAAGTGTCAGGCTTACAACCCTTCATTGAGACCAGTCTGAAGAAATTCCTCCAGGAGATATCCCAGACAGAAACTTGGCAAACTCTGCAGCCTCTGACCACAACTTATGTGATCTACCTGGGAGTTTATTACAGTGCTTGCAGCCAACAGGTAAGGCCTGAAAATACAGGATGTATTCTCATCTCACCAGCATCAGCTTGTGCCTTACCTCTGAAAACCTGAATTTAGAGGAAATGCTGAAAAAGAGATGTTGAAGTATCAATCTGAGGACTAGATTTTGTTAACCACAGCTCACGTGTAGGCTACATGGCATTTAGGGTCAGATAAGTCTGCTAATCCCTCACATTAACAGTGACAAATGTCACTGTCTCCCTTTTTTGTCCTTTCTTCCTTTGGGCTCTGCATCTCAATCAAGGTACGTGGTAATGCTGTGACTGTTCTGCTTTACTGCAGAGATCCAAAGCATGAAGCAAACATGACCTAATGTAGTTTGACAGTCCTTTCTCCTTGTGGGCTACATCAAGGTGCATGTTTTTGCATTTGCTGTGGTCTGAGAGCTTACACATGGACAGCTACACTGCAGTAATCTGGTTGGAAGATTGAGTGTTGAGGGTCATGCCATATGAACTTTGAATAGGAAGCAATAAAGATAAATTTATTTCCTGTCCTGCTGATGTTTAAGGTCAAATTCTTGTTACAGTTACAGTTGTGGTATGTTACCATCTTTTAAAGTGAGTTTTCTGAAGGTGACATGTCAGTGTGATGCTGTTCAAGAATAATGTCTTATACTTTGGCTACCTTAGAGATTCATGTTCTAAAGATAAATGCAAGTTTCCTCTTTACTGCCCAACTGATGTGCCTGAGTTCTGACCTGGGAGAGCCGTCTTCAAGGTGTGGGGTAGTTTAATGGCTGTAGTTATTTACACTTCTGCAACTCCTCTGAAACTTGCCCGAAGCAACTGAAATTGTGGCTGGGGGGGAAGCTGCCAGTATCTTTCAAAGATGTCTTCAGTATCCCAAACTTTGGTAGTACCCATCACATGGTGTCACTAGGTCCTGAGCATTAGAGGACCAGGGTAACCAAGAGGTTAATATTCCTTTTCAACCTTTATAGATATCCCAGAAGAGTGGCTAACAAAATAATTTAAGTCCTTGAACTATGACATAATATTTTTTTTTTTATTTCCACTTAAGAAGTTCAATCATCTACCTGTGGTTAGCTAATCTGATTAAAAAAATAAAAATAAAATTGCATGTAGCATGTTTAAATGGACTTGCAAAAAAAAAAAAAAAATCAACTTGTAACTAGGTTGGTGTATACTGGGACTTCTTGGAGTATTTTTGTTAGACTCCTAGGAACTAAGGTGAACATCTTCATGTAGGTTTTACTGATTTCTGGAGTGGGATTTCACCTGGGGGAAAATTAGATTTTATGTTATAGGAATTAGTATTTCTGTATCCTAAAGCAGCATTCTAATGAAGGGAAAGAACAATAAAATTTGCCAGCATGTTCCTTCAACCTGGAATATTGCTTACTAGGGTCGGAAGAATTCGGATGGTTCTCTAAAAGCCACAGATCCTCCTCTGTGCAGTGTTCATCCACAGTCATGCTTTGATGGGTAGGTCAATTGCATTTTATACAGTTGATTTTTTTTTTTTTTTAATTTTTTTTTTTTTGAGACCCTCATGGCACCACTCTGCTTTCTCGAGGTAGTTCTGATCACCTTTGTGTCTGTCATCTTCAAGTTAATGGAAAGATCAGCACGTAGATGGTATGGGGAGTGGTGCTTAGCCACTTAGGGCAAGTTTTCATTTAGGGAATCTTGATCCCAAGGATCCCATACTTTATTTCCAGCCAGTTATCTCTTTGATCCATTTTAGTACTGGAGTGCAAGAACACCTTGAATTGCTGGCTCTCAGCTTCCACCCTACCAGCAGTGAGGCCAGCTCTAAGCTAGAGCAGTACCACTATGTAGATGATGTTGTCTGTCAAAAAGATAATAGAGAAAGCAATTAAATCAACCTGTCTTTTTGCCCTCACTGGAATGTCTTCATTCACCATCTTTTCCTGTCTTTCTCCATGTCTTCTGCAGCCATCAGTCAATCCAATTGACTGCTTAGAGGAACTGGAACGTTTGACATCTGAGGTGCTGCAACCCCTTCTCAGCCAGCCAGCCATACACAGCATGTGGGACCTGCTCAGGTAAAGTCATTTCACTGCTAAGATGCTGTTGCCAGAAGATAATGGAGCCTAATTTCTACACTGTACTGTGTGGCAGTTTTCCCTCTCCCATTTCTTTCCCCTGTACATATGTGCCCCATATGCGTGAATTAGAGCGCAGTAGGGCTCTGTCTACACTCTGCTTTGTCCTCTCTCCCCTCATGGCAAATAGCATGATGGCCACAGAGGTTCTCCAGTTCTTCCTTTCCTACTGGTGCTGCTGCAGGGTCTGCAGCTCTGCCCTTCCATGGACTTGTGATTTTTGTATCAATTTCAGATTGATTTTAGTCACTCTTGGCTTTTTGGCTTTGATTCTTTGGTTTCATGGGTTTAAAAAAACAAAGCAAAACAAAAACCCAACATCAATTTGAGTTCCTTTTACATCGGGGAAAGTGAGTGTGTATGTGCATGTACCATTCACGTGCTCTGAGTGATGCTGCTTGTATAAAATAATTTAAACTAGGCTGTCATGTTTAAACTCACTCAGGGCTTCACTGAGGCCTCGAAGGCCCTTGCAGGAAAGTGAAAGGCCAGATACCAAACTGTTCTTTCAGACATTTGAGTAACATAAGCTTTGTCTCTGGCGCTGGGAACTGTTCAGCACTGCAGATATTCCATCTTTCTGCTGTAGAGGGAGCCTCCCTCCTAGCCTGTGATCAGTCCTCTGGAGAGGAGGAACCTCAAAGACCTAACTTGTAGTTAGGGAGACATCCTGCTGCTTCTGAGAACGTCTGATATAAAGGCCCTTGCATTTAGTGGTATTTGAATGGTCACCAAACAGTTTGGCCTATGTTCTTTCATGACTGAGAATCATAGAATCACAGACTGGTTTGGGTTGGAAGGGACCTTAAAGCTCATCCAGTTCCAACCCCCCTGCCATCAGCAGGGACACCTTCCACTAGACCAGGTTGCTCAAAGCCTCATCCAGCCTGGCCTTAAACACTTCCAGGGCGGAGGAGAACTGAGGTCTGAAGCTCTTAGCAACAAGCCTTCCAATGCAAGTGCACTCAACAGACCCTTTCCTGCCTGCCCTTGAGGTTCGAAAACAATGGGTTTGGTCAGTCTGTAAAAGCCCATCAGCAAGAATTCTCCTAGGCTGTTCTTAACACTGGCTGGTAAAAATAAAGAGTCAGCTAATCCGTGCCTTAATATTTTGACAATCTTGTCTACACATTCTGGGCAGGTTAGGCCCCAGGTGTGTTTACACATCTCCTACATGATAATGCCAGTAGAAGGAAGAGCAATGCATTTAAAGAGTTAGTTCTCTGTCATAGGTATGGATCTCTGACAGGATTTGCCCTATTGCTCCGTTACCATTGAGCCACATGCTTGTGGTCACTCTTCCTTGTAGTGCTCTGGCCTGTACACACGTGGTGTGTCAAGTGTGGGCCCTGTAAGTGCTGCTGGTATGGAAAGTTGTAGTTTCCCCTGCGGGGAATGAGGGCACACACCAAGAGCCGTACGCATGGTCATCATGTTCATGTACATTAAAGCTAGGTTCTTTCTGAACAGACTTTAAAAATATACATTTCATGAGTACCTAAGGAGCAGCATTTTTGCAATGTCAATTTCAGATATAAGATGGCTTTTTGGCTTTGCCTGCCAGTTTGTTATTGAAATGTCTTGAGTGGGTGGGCAGCTTTATTAGCCTACTTTACGTATGTACATGGGGAAATGTGGGTTTTTATATTTTTTTTAATCAAAGCCCCAGTGCTTTCAAATGTTTGACACCAGAGATGCGTCACTGCATCAGTATTTCTGCACGTCATGAACAATTTAGCTGAAGATTAGAATTCATGACAGTTTGCTTGTATGGTAATAGTGCTTACTTGACCAGCTGTGCTACTAGCTGTTCTCTTGCACGGTCTTTGGGGCTTCCATTTAACTGCAAAGCGTGGCAGAGTTCAGATAGTAATATTCCTACAGGATAATTCATCAGCAGCACGAGTGCATTTGACCTGACCCCTCTCTCTTTACCTATTCACACAGGCCATGTTCTGCTTTGTGCAACCCTCTGTCCTGTTCCCCAGCACCAGAATTGGTCTTCAGCATTGCGTCTCTGAGTTGCGTGGGAGGCAAACCTCCTTTGAGTCTCGTTGGCTCCAAGTCACCTTTCCCCTTCCTCACTGCCCTCCTGTTTCTCATCAATAACATCACTGACATTCACAAAGGCCTGACCAGCAAGGTGAGAATAGATGTTCTCACTGTAAGTTCTAGGTGAAGGATGATATACTTGTGAGGGAGGTTAGTAGGTGTATATGCCAAGGCTTAAGAGTGATGTTAGTAGGACTATTAAAAAGGAATTGTGTATTTTTATTTTAAAAAGATAAAAGTACTATAGAAATACCACCATTTTCAGAACAGTTGGAACGAGGATCTGAAAAATATCTTCTGTCTCTGAATTCCAATATCCAGTTGACACTGGGAAGCTGGAATTATAGGGCAGGTGATGAATGATAATGCTTAAAGGATGGATTTATAAAGAACGTTGAGAAGGGTTAAATAATTGTTGTGTGGCTAAGCAAAATAAATAACTGTCAGAGGAGGAAAGGGATGGTTGAAGCATATATAACAAGAAAAATGGGTAAAATTAAACAAGAGAATGAGTGCTACAGTGGCTGAAGAGGTTTCTTTCCATTTCTGGTAGCCCTGAATTTTTAGAGTGAGAGAATCCTGGAAGAGTGCACACCCTAAAGCGGAAATGGCAGAGCCCTAGGGAGATGGAGTACCTAGGAGAAGCTTTCTCAAAGCCTTCCTTTGCCATCTTATGTTGAATTAGCTGACCGGTTACTAATAGCAATATCTGGCTAGGTGAGAGTAGAACTTCTTAAGCCACTGGCCAGAATTCTGCCTTACAAAGCACTATGGAAAATGTAGGCAGTAACTGTTGGTTACCTGCAGAGGGGATGGTCACGATGGATGCAGGTGAGCCCTGAGGCAAATATTTATCAGGCTATTTTTAAGTATCCCTTTTGGAGTAGCCAAGAGGAATTTTCATGGGAGAAGGTAGGGGGTGGGCCTTGAAGAGGGCTGTGTCTTACTTTCTTCCAACCACGAACTGTCTTAGCAGTATTTGTCTCTCCACTTCTGATTCCTTTATAGTACAGCTCTGTGCTGGGCTTCAGAGGCTTGAGGGATTATCTGCATCAAAGCTGGCAGACCGGACCTCCCTCTGTAACTCCCTCATCTGCGTGGATCCTGCGCCATGAATATCACCTGCAGTACTTTGTGTTAGCGTTGGCTCGGAGAATGGTATTGTTCTTACTCCTTTCATTTCTTTCACCCGAGGAACTGACTTCACCCTGACCTCTCCAACTTAGTGTGTCAGGCTGGCAACGGGTCTTTGCATCCATGTTCTTTCTCATATCTGACTTAGGTCTGGGGACTCTTCAGCTTTCTTTCATACCCTGTTAATAAACAGTATCTTTAGTTACTGATGTGGGGATTTAGATCCAAAATACTTTGGATGGCAAAATTATATTTTTGCCTGTCTTTGGGCTAGAGTGAGAACAAAGTTTTCAAGTGTGCTGCTAAAAAAGATGTCAAACTATCAGGGGAAGCGGAAAGCTCTTGGTATGAATGCTGTCAGTTCTTGCAGTCTGCTTCAGTCTCTCACTTTCTGGTGAGATCTGTGTCTCAGTTGACTCTCCTGTCCTTGTTGGCAAATGGTACAGTGATTTATCTGTTGTTTTGTTTCCTGTACAGGCAGGCACTTGTCCGGATTACACCCAGCATGCCTCACTCCATCACTGTGTTGCCATGGCATTGCTGAGCCGTCTGTTGCCAGGGAGTGAGCATCTGGCTTACCAAGTCCTACTGGATCTTGCCTTTAATCCCGAGTTTCTTCCGTAAGCTTTGCATTTTTTCCCTCTGTAGACTGGTACATGGGAAAACTTGGGAGAATTGAAGCAGCACATGTTGGCACTGCAATTTTGTCATAATTTTTGGCCTTTAATAAGGCCTGTATTCAAATTTGAGTTCTCATTGGCATCCTGTCAGTCACTGAGCCTTCCAATCTGACCAGCAGTGTGGTTGCAGACTTCTCTTCGATGTAACAATGTTGAGAAGCGTGACCAGTTTCTTTTGATCTCCTCTGTGGCAAGAGTCCTGTCATTCCTGGTAGAATTGATTCTCACTAAGGCCCAGCATCTGCTATCCTGAGACAACTGAGTCTAGAAAATCCATGGGGATTTGACATCCTGAAAAGCTTATTAAGTCTTTCTCAGCCCCTTATTGTACAAGTTCTTACACAAATTTTTGCTGATTTGACAACTGTGATGTGTTCCACCTTGCACTGGAAGAAATCATGAGCATCTCACATGTGAAGAAGGAAAATGGTAGCAGTTTACCTTGTTCATCACAGTCTCTTTAAAATTTGCCAGGAGGTTGAGGTTAGACCAAGGTGCTGCAAGGAGATATTATAGTTTTCCAGAAAGAAGGAATATTTGTGGGTGGGTTGGTTTGGGTGGTTTGGTGTCTTGGGGTTTTTGTTGTTGTTGTTGTTGTGGTGGTGGTGGTGGGTTTGTTTTGTTTTGTTTGTTCTGGTATTTTGTTTTGTGTTTTGTGGTGGTGGGTTGTTTTGGTTTGGTTTTGTTTTTTTACAAATATCTGCTGTAGAGCTACCATTTTGGAGAATTTGGCAAGTAATGTGAGACTATGGTCAGTCTCTGAACTGAGATCGTGGTACAAACACACACCCCCAATTTCTAACTGCCAGTCTGTATGGTTCCCCTGACTGCCAGCTGCAAAGCTGCTCTTTTGAGAACTGTCTTATTGATTCGTGTAGGCCTGATATGATATGTGGTATTTCATCTCAGCTGTGTGGGTAAGTAGACTGCCTGTCTGAACAAGGGGTTACAGCCTCCATACCAGACTGCTGGCATTGTGTGGAACTTTTTCATGGCAAGGCCTTAGTGTTGCTGACTCCAAATGTAGTTCTGTGAATTCCCTGTAAATACCAAGATAGCTGATGCTTTGCAGGCACTCAGTACTAGCATAGCTGAATGCTGTAGGAAATGTTGTGAGTGCTGTGCATATACTACTCTCTAATCTAGGAAGATCGTGGAGAATAATTTCTGTGTGGTTTTTTTTAATTTGTTTTTTTTCTTTCTTAAACTGATGTTTGTCTTTATCTTACAGTGAAGGGAAAGCTGGAGGGCCAGAAGCAGCTGACTTCTCCGATATCCTGCATCTGGGTTCCAGTGCCAAACTGGCACAGCCTGGCTCTGCGGCAGCATTTTTTTCAAAGGCTACTCGTGGTGCTCTGCTGAGAGAATCCTACCAGAATCTGCCTTTCATCCGCTCCTGCTACCTTTCTCATTTTGTCCACTTGCAGCCTACCCTTATGCGTTCCGAAGCATCCTACCAAGGACGGAATTACCTCATCCAATCAATGCTGCTTCCTGAGGTCAGAGGGCCCATCCTGCCTTCAGACTGGCCATTCTTTCCACTTATCAGCCTCTACAACAAAGTGACTAATGCAGAGACACGTGGGGCTGTACTGAACTCTCTCCCACTTGATCTCGTCAACACTGTGACCTGGAACCTACAGTGGGTCTTGTTGCTGGAAAGCTGGCGTGCTAAAACCCTTCAGAGCATCCCTACTGCTGCCAAACTTGCACGGCTGATGTGTGTCTTCCTCACAGGTGGTGACCTCTTTCTAGAAGCACCAATCCACCGCTACACAGCTGCCCTTCTCTCTGTGTATTGCCAACCCAAGGCATTGGACTCCCTAAACTTGGATGCTCCTCTCCCTGGTTTGGCATCCTTCCACGATCTCTATATAAGTCTCCTGGAACAGTTTGAAGGTGTCTCCTTTGGAGATCCACTCTTTGGAGTCTTTGTTCTTCTACCTCTACAGAAGCGTTTCAGCGTTCATTTGCGTCTCGCTGTTTTTGGGGAGCACACGAGTATCCTGCGGGCACTGGGAGTGCCGCTCCAGCAGGTAATCCTGGCTTATGGTAGGTGCCTGTTACTGGGCTCTTGCCTGTGTTTCTCCAACCTTGATGTGGGCATCCTCCCAGCACTCACCCTTCTTCCTCATCCCTCCTTGTCCAGTAGAATAATCACGCTTTCTTTGCTTAGAAGCTTTTCATTCTCCCTGAAGGAAGTCCAATGCATGGAACATAAAATAGAATAGGTATGGAGAGCAATATTCTTTTGATTTAGGGCTGTGACAGCAGTGTGTGGTTTTTTGTGGTTGTTATTGTTATTTCTTTAAAAAAATAAACAAACAAACAACGAAAACCAAAACAAAAACCTTGATGTATTGTAAGTCTGAGGAACAGAGTCCTGCCCCTGTAGGTGCAGGCCCTTGTCACATAATAATTTTCAGAAACCTGTTGAACTTTGTTTTGAGAGCAGATAGTGTGTGTATGTGGAAGGCGGGAGCTGTGAAATTGTTCAGTCTTCAGTGGAAACTGTCCCACACTCTGCTTGGTCTAATAGTTGAGAACCTCCTTCTAATTTATGGCCTGTATGTGTGAAGGGCTAATCTGTACCCCATGTTCTTCTGCCAGCAATTACCTTTCCCTTAAATATGTCTTCTCTTACCTTGGTGAGAGCCTTGTCCTTGCTCAGTGCATGGGCAAACAGTTGTTTTCGCTCTCAGCCGTGTTTCCACTTTTAGTTATACTAGAATTGTGCTTTTCTGGGTAACTCAAGTGAGAAAATTTGATGATCTATCAAGTGCAGGACTGCATCTCTTTTTGAATGAGCAGAGCATGAGATGGAATTTAGCTGGCTTTGAGTTCTGTGTCTGTTGACAGACAATACCCGATGTTACCCTAAATATTTGCTAATACAAAAATAACCTTTCAAGATTTGTTTTCCAAGCAACTGTGACCCAGCAGTTTATGTGAGTTCAGTGCTTTCCACTGTGTGGTTGCAGCACTTCTGCTCTGGTTGTAATAGCCCTGCAGCCAGTTTTTCTGTATCATTATGGCCAGATGAGCCTTTGTTTGTTAAGCCAGGTAAGCCAAGATACTCTGGTCTGCTTCTTATGGTAAGCTCTCCGTTCTCTTGATCTTCCCACTAACCCTTCCCTATTCCAGATCCACAAATATAAGTAGGAACAGAGCTGAAAACCTTATTCCAGACAAAAGCCTTGATTCTACATCACGTGCTCTATCTTGTCTTGATCCCTCAACACCAGATGCCTCAGTACCGTGTGAATTGGGGTATATGTTACAATGGAGAACGTTTCAAAACATACTGTTTTTCTTGTGCTTAGAAGTTTTTAAATACTTTGAACAATGTTTTCATTGCTGTGTTGCTTCAACACAAAGTCTGTGCTGGAAAATTTGAGCAAGATCACTTTGAGGAGGTGTTGTTTGGTTGTTTTTTTTTCCCTTTTTTTGCCTTAAGTTGAGTTAAAAAGACCCTAGTGGGCAATAGGAATAACCTAGTGGGCAGAGTGCTTTAGGAATTGAGGAAAATCAATGATTGTCTTTAATTGTGCAAAGAAGATGCTCCAAAGTGAAACAGGTAATTTTAGCCCTGTAGAACTTACCTCAAAATTAGAGAAGAATAAAAATTGGACTTCTGGAGAGGGGAGAAGCGAACAAAACCAAGTTGCTATTAAAAGCTTTTCTAACCTATTTTTCAAAGCTAGACAGTGAAGTCGGAAAATGTTGGAAATTTAACAACAACTTTAACTCTGGCACATATATCTGCTTTCCTTTTCTGGCTAAATGCATAGGTCAGTGTACTGGTCTCTGGTAAATTAGCAGGATGCTCTGCTGTTGAAAGCACTCTGTCTCCTCACTTTGAAACCACTCTTCTTGCCTGTGCCAAAAAGCAACTGCAGTCATTTAACCTGTAAAACATCTCTCCATAAAGCTGAAGAGGTCTTGAGGATGCTTTGTCAAAGGCATGTCACGTTAGTCAGTGTGGGCAGTAACAGTTCTGCTCCAAATGGGGTTTGTGCCACCGAGGTACATCATAAGCTGCCCAGAGAGGTTGTGGAGTCTCCATCTCTGGAGATGTTCCAAACCCACCTGGACTCTTTCCTGTGCAACCTGGTAACCTGCTTTGGCAGGGGGGTTGGACTGGATGATCTCCAGAGGTCCCTTCCAACCCCTGTGATTCTGTGTTATATAGGAATGCACACACAAACAGCTGGGGAAGGGTACCCTAAAGTCATGAACTCCTCCTCACTCCTTAGTAACGTTGTCTCTGTGTGGGTTTGTTGCAGTTCCCTGTGCCTCTCGAGCGATACACTTCCCCTCCTGAGGACAACCTGAACCTCCTGCGTCTCTACTTCCGAAGCCTGGTCACTGGGGCACTGCGCCATACCTGGTGTCCTGTGCTGTACGTGGTGGCTCTGGCTCATGTCAACAGCTTTATTTTCTCCCAGGACAGCACGACACAGGTAGGTAATGGATAGCAGAGCCTCAGGGCTGGAAGCTTTGCATTTTGTACCTGCTCTTCCCAAGGGTCCAGTGTGGCTTGTGGTGAATCACTGACCCTGTGCTTGAGAACAAAGATTGTAAGCAAATGTTTTGAGGACTGGTCAGCTGTTTGAGAATCCACATATGAGATACAGACAGTAGCTCTTGTTCATTATACCCTAAAGCACTCATATTAATGGTAGGCAATCCTGCACAAACCTTCGAAGTTGGGAACTATGTGGGCTATGGTATGGAGGGGAGGAATGAATCAGAGAGGATGAGGGAGCTGAGCAGGCAGAGAGAGCTTGTAATGGATTTAGCCTCTGCCTGAGGCGGTCGTAAGGTGCA